ACTAAAATGCTTGCAATAGAACACACACACAAACTACTCAGAACCAGTAAGCAATGCCAACAACATGCTTGCAACAGAACACACACACAATCTACTCAGAACCAGTGAGAAAAGCCAACAACATATTTACAATAGAACACACACAATCTACTCAGAACCAGTGAGAAAAGCCAACAACATGCTTACGATAGAACACAAACACAATCTATACAGAACCAGGCAGCAGTGACAACATGCTTACGATAGAACACGCACATAATCTACTCAAAGCCAGTGAGCAATGCCAACAGCATGCTTATAATAGAACACACACACAATCTACTCAGAACCAGTGAGCAATACCAACAACATGCTTGCAATAGAACACACACATAACCTACTCAAAGCCAGTGAGCAATGCCAACAGCATGCTTACAATAGAACACACACACAATCTACTCAGAACCAGCGAGAAAAGCCAACAACATGCTTACAATAGAATACAGACACAAATGGCCAAATAGATCTCATGGAGAATGAGAAAACTACATGTCTTGCTCAAGCCCTTCACATATTGTTCTATTCTCTACCATAGTCGCATCTACTCTTTGCAAATACCACGGTTACCAGGGGTACAGTGAGCGTGATCAACAAGAGTAAATGAATTTGAGGGGCAAAAACACATGAATGGTTTTGCACTCTGAATGAGATCTCTGCAATCTTTTGAGTTTATCATTCAAATTAACAACAACACATAAAACTGTGAGAATGTTTATTTAAATTTTTCTGGCATTAATGTGTGAACAAGGTTCATAGTGAGGTTTCAATAAAGCTTCACAATGTTGTTCAATTCTGGGCTTTGTACTCCATGCAGGAACATGTATAATAAAAAGAGTATGGTTGCATCAACCTTTGCAACTCCTCATGCACTGTCTTCTTGAATAAATCACAATATCCTCATAATAGGTACTTATAATGAACAAACACTAAATAAAAGACGTCTTTGAGACTAACTAAGGTGATAAATATGCAAGTTTTACATGTTAACTTTGTTTCCTTTAAGAACCTTAGGTTTTGGTTCTCGACTGTATAAATATGTTGCACTAATTACAGATGTTGCTCCAATAAAAAAATATCTGTAAACAAAACAGATTACAGTAATATAAATGAATAAAACCCATGTAACATTAGTCTTTTAGTGTGCTGTCATGACATATATCTTATAATTAATAGTGTAATGAATAATCAAGTAGATGTGTCATGGAGAATGACAAATATCTGAATAATGAGGAAGATGCGTCTTGAAGAATGTCAACTATCTGAATAATGAGGTAGATGTGTCATGAAGAATGTCAACTATCTGAATAATGAGGTAGATGTGTCATGAAGAATGTCAAATATCTGAATAATGAGGTAGATGTGTCATGAAGAATGTCAAATATCTGAATAATGGGGAAGATATGTCATGAAGAATGTCAAATATCTGAATAATGGGGAAGATATGTCATGAAGAATGTTAAATATCTGAATAGTGGGGAAGATATGTCATGGAGAATGTCAAATATCTGAATATTGGGGAAGATGTGTCATTAATAATGTCAAATATCTGAATAATGGGGAAGATATGTCATGGAGAATGTCAAATATCTGAATAATGGGGAAGATGTGTCATGAAAAATGTCAAATATCTGAATAATGGGGAAGATATGTCATGAAGAATGTCAAATATCTGAATAGTGGGGAAGATATGTCATGGAGAATGTCAAATATCTGAATATTGGGGAAGATGTGTCATTAATAATGTGTCAATGGGAGTGTAAAATTGGAGTAACTTACATTGTTGGTATAAAATCATTCAACCAGTAATAAGAGACTATAGTAGAGAATATAATGGATAAGGATGAAGCAAAACCTTTCAAGATGTTATCTGCATATTTGATAACAGCAGCTATTATGAGACCACCAATTGCCTATCAAGTAAAACATTAATTATTTATTGTCTGAGAATTGACTTAGTGTCCAACTAGAAACTAGTATATGCTCTGTGACTGACTATTTGAATGTCTGTTGACATAAAATAGGGTAATTGAAATATGAACCTTTATTTTGTATCAATATGCTTAGAATGAAATGTACAATTTGTAATTTTACAAAACTAAAACTAAAACTAAAAAGCAAATACTTACCTGTAAGAGAACAACAGCCCATGTAATATTATTATAGCCTTGTAAAAAACCATCTTTATACACAGCTTGTCCATCGTACCAAAACACTCCAATAAGACCAAATAATGTTCCAAAAAATCCTTCAGTACATACAAAAGTAAAGAATCAGCTGGTGTTAAGTTGGCCATGTTGCATTGTCTCAAACCAAAAAAGAAAACAACACAGGGACATAATTTAATTTTGCTAAATGTAGTACAATTGCAGCACATATATTTTCAAACAATAATACTTGTTTTACTTCATGAAAATCAAGAAGAATAAGATTTTATGCCAGCATTGTTGTGCAACATTTTGTTGTTTTTCATAAATTTTGAACAAGATGGACATTTCTTGTCCAAATCCCTTTAAGCATCTCAGTATTTGAACGGTCACATCATTTGAATGGTCACATTATTTGAATGGTCACAGTGTTTGAATGGTCACAGTGTTTGAACGATCGCATTATTTGAATGGTCACATTATTTGAATAGTCACATTTTTTGAATTGTCACAGTATTCGAATGGTCACATTATCTAAATAGCCATAGTGTTTGAACAATTAAAATATTTGAACAGTCACAGTGTTTGAATGGTCACAATATTTGAATAGCCAAACTATCTGAATGGTCACAGTATTTGAATGATTACAGTATTTGAATGGTCACAATATTTGAATGGTTACAGTAATTGAACTGTCACAATATTTGAACTGTCATAGTATTTGAATGGTCACAGTATTTGAACTGTCATAGTATTTGAATGGTCACAATATTTGAACTGTCATAGTATTTGAACGGTCACAGTATTTGAATGGTTACAGTATTTGAACGGTCACAATATTTGAACTGACATAGTATTTGAATGGTCACAGTATTTGAACTGTCATAGTATTTGAATGGTCACAATATTTGAACTGTCATAGTATTTGAACGGTCACAGTATTTGAATGGTTACAGTATTTGAACGGTCACAATATTTGAACTGACATAGTATTTGAATGGTCACAATATTTGAACGGTCACAATATTTTAACTGTCATAGTATTTCAACGGTCACAATAGTTGAATGGTCACAGTATTTGAACTGTGATAGTATTTGAATGGTCACAATATTTGAACTGTCACAAAATAATTGAACGGTCACAATATTTGAATGGTCACAGTATTTGAACGGTCAAAATATTTGAAGTCACAGTATTTGAATGGTCACAATATTTGAACTGTCATAGTATTTGAATGGTCACGGTATTTGAACTGTCATAGTATTTGAATGGTCACAATATTTGAACTGTCATAGTATTTGAACGGTCACTATATTTGAATGGTCACAGTATTTGAACGGTCATAATATTTGAACTGTCATAGTATTTGAACGGTCACAATATTTGAATGGTCACAGTATTTGAATGGTTACAGTAATTGAACGGTCACAATATTTCGACTGTTACAATACAACGGTCACAGTATTTGAACAGTCACAGTGTCTGAATGGTCACAATATTTGAACTGTCATAGTATTTGAATGGTCACAGTATTTGAACGGTCACAATATTTGAATGGTCAAACTATTTGAATGGTCACAGTATTTGAATGGTTACAGTATATTTGGACTGTTACAATATGACGGTCATAGTATTTGAACAGTCACAGTATTTGAATGGTCACAATATTTGAACTGTCATAGTATTTGAATGGTCACAGTATTTGAACTGTCATAGTATTTGAGTGGTCACAATATTTGAACTGTCACAATATTTGAAGTCACAGTATTTGAATGGTCACAATATTTGAACTGTCATAGTATTTGAATGGTCACAGTATTTGAACTGTCATAGTATTTGAACGGTCACTATATTTGAATGGTCACAGTATTTGAACGATCACAATATTTGAACTGTCATAGTATTTGAACGGTCACAATATTTTAACTGT